GACGTGCGCACGAGTGAGAGAGAGAGAGAGAGAGAGAGAGAGAGAGAGAGAGAGAGAGAGAGAGAGAGAGTCGACATCGATGCACGCATGCGTGAGAGAGAGAGTCGACATCGATGCACGCATGTGTGAGAGAGAGAGAGAGAGAGAGTGAGAGAGAGAGAGAGAGAGCAAGAGCGCAGCCTGCGCTCGTACGGCCCGCCAACGTACGTACTCGTCGTACGTGCGTGCACCGCGTTCGTATGGCCTGTGCGCTTAAACGGGCCGTGCGACTGGGCGGGCCGCTCCCGCTGGGCGCCGAGACCCCGCCAGCGTCGTCGAACTGCAGGCCGCCAGGGCCCTTCGGGTAGGCCTGCTAGCGCGTCCCCAGGCCCTTGACGAGGCCTCCTGTCCACGGCCACTGCAGGTACAGCGGCCACAGAAGGTGGCACGAAGTAAGGGAGACGGGAGAGCTGCGCGAGAAGTGCAGCGTCAATGACCAAATCAAAGACCAGGAGGCCGACGATGCCACCCAAGCGTCGAGGGGAGCAAAGGGAGTTTATCCCTGTCAACAGATATAGGCAGAGAGAGGCGGAGTTGAAGTTCGTCGGGCTGGTCTTCAAAGGGATGCAGAAGAGGCAGACATTGCCGAACTGCAATGGCAAGTTTTGGCAACCTCGTCATGAAGTGCGAGTTGTGCGACCAGGAATTTGTCGGCAGCTAGAGCAAGCGTGCCTTGCACTACACAATTAAAAACAACTGCCCTTAAGCCATGCTGGACATTTTGGTTGAGATCTGGAACAAGAATTCCGACCACTTCGATCAAAGCCATTGGAAGAAGCCTTAAGAAGGTACAGGGTCACCTTGCGGAGAGGGGGTGGGAAGATAAGAGAGGACAACTTGGTCGACAAGGGGGAGAGGAGGACAAAGAACATGCACTTCGTGAAAACTGGACCGAAACGAAAGTCCATTTTGCCAAATTATGCTATATGTTTTTCCGTCAACTAGTTTTGAGCACAAGATTTAGACCGCAGGTTTACGTGCCACAACAAGACAAGAAAAAACTGGTTTTTTAGAAAACACAGTTAGCCCTGCGATCCATATCTCACAACAACATATTAAAAAAACAGGTTTTTTTCCATACTGAAGGTACCCAAAGAAGCCACTCTGGTAGCCTAGTGCCGTGCCCAGGTGCCTCTGGGAGGCGATTCCCAAATGGAATCGATTACGTAATCGATTCCATTTGGGAATCGCCTCCGAGAGCCACCTGGGCGCAACTCACTGTCGCCCCCAGGTGCCTCTGAGAGGCGATTCCAAAATGGAATCGATTACGTAATCGATTCAATTTCGGAATCACCTCTCAGAGGAACCTGGGGGCGACAGTCAGTCGCACCCAGGTGCCTGTGGGAGGCGATTCCCAAATGGAATCGATTACGTAATCGATTCCATTTCAGAATCGCCTCCCAGAGGCACCTGGGCAGAGGAGTGTGGAGGAGCGGAGGAGGGGGGAGGAGCAGGGGAGGGG